GTGTTTTCACACATTTCAGTGCTTAACAAAGGCTTACGGTGGGATAAATGCAAACCCACAGTAATGCACACACAACAAATGTACACACTGTTAGTTCTGCCTGTCAGCAGAACATTTTTGTTTTCTATTGTTCTGGTTTTGTATAGAATTGCCGAGAGACTGTTAGTGAACAAACAAAGGGAGGCAGAGACAGATGGGAAGTGAGGCTGAGAGAGATACTAATAATCCATACCTAATTTGTGCAGTTGCAGCAAATTGGTTTCATCAAACGCATTGATATACCTGTTTCATGTAACAAAAATAGCAGTGGATCAGTGTATTAGATCACATTTTAGTCACTTCAGTTTTGCGTTTGAACGAGTCGTATTAAACAAGTTTGCACCCACACCCACAACCTAAAGAGCTCGATCTGTCTTCACGAGCAGAATGCCTCACAGCAGAATTCTCAACCCATGCTGAAACATGTTGGCGAAGCAGAGGAGTCGTCCAACTGGACAGGCAACTTTTGGCTGATTTAAGAGGAGAGAAAAGGTAAAGGAGTTCCCAGAAAGCAAGGAGTGGAATTTGGAGGAAAATATTAGTCCATTCATTAGCCATGTTCATTAATAATGCTTTACTTTTCCATGGCTAAGGAAAATTAAGTAGATTTTGATTGCCACAATGCCACTCCCTTCACACAAAACAAGATAACAACTCCCATCTTCAAAAACTGGCAGTTACTGTTAATGTTATAGCAACTGTGTATTGTGAAATTGGCACAAGCCCTCGAGCTACTCACTAGATGGAAGCAAGGCCATAATTATCTATCATACATATTAATACACTTTAATTAAGAGAAAAGATAATTATTTGTATTTGAGTGCCAATTAAAAAAAAAGCGCAAATAAAAATCTAATTACTTTTATCATAAGGGCACAAGCAGAGCAGTTGATTTACATTCGTCATGTGCACAATTAAGTTTTAAACAAAACATCAAATCTAAAATACCTGTAATGCATTTTATTCAAGGAGAACATATGAATTTTTTAAAAGAACATTTGAAAATGAAAACTTCCGTCAGTTATTCTCAATGTCAATATAGGACTGATATGATTGTTGATGGTAAATGGTACGATTATATGATTATTAAAAAAAAAAATTGGGTGTACATGTATTGAATTTTTTTTTCTGAAAAATAAGTTTATTTCTTATTTTTGTTCCCTTTATTTTAGTAAAAATCAGTCAAGTAGAATAAAAAAAGGTTCTTTATTAAAAAAAAAAAAAAACTTTGAAGAAAAGCTTGGATTTTAATATTATGTAATATTTTCTAATTTAACATAAAAAGTGTTACATTATACAATAATAACATTAAATAAATTGTGAAACGTATTATATATACATATCAAAGGAAAAGTGTATCAAAAATATGTATTTTGATTTTTAATATTATGTAATATTTCTGTTAATTTAACATTCACATTTCAATATTGTACAGTAATGACATTTAATTAATCGTAAAAAGTATTATATATACATACATATAATCTATCCATATACACACAAATAAAATAAAAATAAAACATAACTTAAAATATTGGAGTATGTTTTACAAAATTGTTTAATGCAATGTGTTCCTTGATGCTTCTTTATTTGTATTTTTGTGGGGGAAAAAATTAATAAATAAAATTGTGGGTATATATGAGAAATCCCCATCTAATAATAACAAACACCAAAAACATAACAACTTACCAGTACTTCTATTGTTTCTTCAACTTCTTATTTGAGATATCCTGGAGTATCTGATCCAGATTCAGATCCAAGTAGTACCAGCACAGCAACTTCGCCAAGCACCTGTCTTCAGTGCTGATGTCGATATGATTTTCCTTATCTTTTCCTTGCCTTGTGTCTCTCACTGCTCCAGTTTACTACAGGTTCTCTCAGCCACTCCCTTTTCTTCCCTCACGTTGGCTATCACATTACTTAGCAAGAAATGTTGCCTAATGAGCAAAGCATAAGGAGACAGCAATGTAAAGCTTCCTCCCTTTGCTTGATTCCTTCTCATATCAATGCAGCCACTCAAGAGAAAGACCTAAACAATTAAACCTCTCTCTAGGTGTGCGTTCTCAGTTCTCATTCACTCATTGGAAGTTGCACTCTTTGTAACTCCAAATTCCCCCCTCCTTTTTTTGTGACTGTCAATGGGGTATGAATGTTTTGGAATGCAGTTTGCTGAATACATGTGACAAACACAGGTTTGCGCTGTCTGTGAGTTTTCTGAGGCCTTCCAGCACATATCATTCTGCTTCACTTTACTTGTACTTCATTACTTAAAAGACTAATAGTGAACATATACAATATATATTCTCACTAGTGCAAATTAGGTGAGATATGTAGGGAGAACCAACAGGATTGGACAGACAGCACAAGGGGCTTTTGTTGTTTGCGTCATTGCAACAGTTGGTAGTAGGTAGCGGAGGACACCAGTTGATGTTTGGCCAGTATTCGTGTTTTCACACATTTCAGTGCTTAACAAAGGCTTACGGTGGGATAAATGCAAACCCACAGTAATGCACACACAACAAATGTACACACTGTTAGTTCTGCCTGTCAGCAGAACATTTTTGTTTTCTATTGTTCTGGTTTTGTATAGAATTGCCGAGAGACTGTTAGTGAACAAACAAAGGGAGGCAGAGACAGATGGGAAGTGAGGCTGAGAGAGATACTAATAATCCATACCTAATTTGTGCAGTTGCAGCAAACTGGTTTCATCAAACGCATTGATATACCTGTTTCATGTAACAAAAATAGCAGTGGATCAGTGTATTAGATCACATTTTAGTCACTTCAGTTTTGCGTTTGAACGAGTCGTATTAAACAAGTTTGCACCCACACCCACAACCTAAAGAGCTCGATCTGTCTTCACGAGCAGAATGCCTCACAGCAGAATTCTCAACCCATGCTGAAACATGTTGGCGAAGCAGAGGAGTCGTCCAACTGGACAGGCAACTTTTGGCTGATTTAAGAGGAGAGAAAAGGTAAAGGAGTTCCCAGAAAGCAAGGAGTGGAATTTGGAGGAAAATATTAGTCCATTCATTAGCCATGTTCATTAATAATGCTTTACTTTTCCATGGCTAAGGAAAATTAAGTAGATTTTGATTGCCACAATGCCACTCCCTTCACACAAAACAAGATAACAACTCCCATCTTCAAAAACTGGCAGTTACTGTTAATGTTATAGCAACTGTGTATTGTGAAATTGGCACAAGCCCTCGAGCTACTCACTAGATGGAAGCAAGGCCATAATTATCTATCATACATATTAATACACTTTAATTAAGAGAAAAGATAATTATTTGTATTTGAGTGCCAATTAAAAAAAAAGCGCAAATAAAAATCTAATTACTTTTATCATAAGGGCACAAGCAGAGCAGTTGATTTACATTCGTCATGTGCACAATTAAGTTTTAAACAAAACATCAAATCTAAAATACCTGTAATGCATTTTATTCAAGGAGAACATATGAATTTTTTAAAAGAACATTTGAAAATGAAAACTTCCGTCAGTTATTCTCAATGTCAATATAGGACTGATATGATTGTTGATGGTAAATGGTACGATTATATGATTATGAAAAAAAAAAATTGGGTGTACATGTATTGAATTTTTTTTTCTGAAAAATAAGTTTATTTCTTATTTTTGTTCCCTTTATTTTAGTAAAAATCAGTCAAGTAGAATAAAAAAAGGTTCTTTATTAAAAAAAAAAAAAAAAGGATAAAAAAACCCACACCAACAAGACAGACTTACAGTATCAGGAATTTTATTTCATATATGTATATAATTCTGTTTTTGTTAATTGTTTAATTTATTATACCCATAAGCATATACATAGACTATAAGCATCCATAGCTCATTTCTCTTGACAATCTACCCATATCGTTTAATCATCTTTTAAAATAATTCCTTATAAGATTTAGGGAAAAAATAGACTTCAGAAAGAGAGAACAGCCAATTATTTTTCACACCCAAAGCGAACAAAACGAAAGAAATGCAAAACATACCTTAAAAAAGGACAAACGTTTTTAAATCCCTTTTCAGTTTTTAAAATAAAAAAAGACCTCACCAATATAACACCAGCAATAATCATAATAACAGCCATTAAAAGGACATTATGATATCTGCCTCCTTCGCAGGCTTTTGAAATCATATACTGTATGCGGGCAGAGTTATATGTGAGAAATACATCCTTACATGTGTGTGTGTGTGTAAGACTGTTGACAGTCCCCGTGGTCCCATTCACAATAAGCATGTCATTGCCATTGACAGTACAGTAATATAAATAATCTTTTTCTTGGTAATGACTTGTTTCCCTCGGATCACAGAGCGGGATGATCTCCCCTCCTCATGAGGAAGCAGAGAAGAGCAGCTTCTGGTTGGAAAGGACAGATGTACAGACATAGACATGGGACGTGACCAACCGTCATTGCCTGTTACACCTCACCCTAACAAGTGGGGGATTAAGAAAAAAAGATGAAGACTAAAGCTTATAATGAAAACAAGGAAACTTTTGTCACAGGAATAGATAAAACTGCACTAAAAACTGAAACGAAAGACACGAAGTGCAGGTGCACCGATTGAGAAATGTTACGTGATTGACGTGCGGAGTGCATTTCCTCTGCAGTTGAGGCTCGTCTCAATGGGGTTTTACACGGGATTTATTAATTCATGCAAATCACACCCTATATTTATGCAAAACAGCTACACACTGTGCCATTTTAACTCTTCCCACTTGAACATGCTTTCCTCATCCATGATTGGCCAAAAGCAATGATGGTTTCTTTTTGAAACAGCATTGAAAGATGGCGACATTTCACTAAAAACATATAATAAAGGCAGGTTGTTACCTCTAAGATGCAATGCATGCAGAATAAGTCCATTCGAAACTAGATAAAAAAAGGTGAGCCAATCACAGGCAGGAGAGGCATGAGGTCAGCAAGCCCTGTGGAAAAGCCCTTTGAAAAGGTCTGACATCACAGGGAGGGAATGAGAAAAAATGTGCTATGGCTCTGAAAGTGTTAAGCTTGGCTATGATTCCGCAATCACTCCAGGACAAGTGAAGAAAAACAAAACAAGAGAAAAAGGACGACGCGAAAGAAAAAGAGAAAGGGACCAACATCTGCAAGTAACAAAGCCAGAATGTGGGGAACTATGTGTGACTTATCAGAAAGGAATCATGGCAACAGTAGCCATGGACATGGTAACCAATGACAACTATTGTTATTCACAAAGAAATCAGGATCAACCCCCCTAAAAACGCAAAAAAAACGCACAATGGAGGTCTGCACACCACAGAACCTCCATCAAATGAACAGACGAGCGAGAGGAGAAACAGGGAACGGAAGCCAGCATTAAAAAAAAAAAAAGATGATACTGATGGCTTAATTTTCCCAAGAACATTGGCAAGAGTCTCAGTTCTCAACAGTATTTTACAGCAGATGATACTATTCCATCTCGCTCTTTCCTCTGTTCATCCTGCCTGTCGCCATTTCTCTTTTACTCAATATATTTCTCAAGAACCAAAGCAAGACCACTTTTTCCTCACAATAGAAAACAAAATAAAAGTCCAACCTCATTAAATGTAACATCTGTCTTTGAATGAATTAAAAAAAAAAAGAAACACAAGCAATGACTTTATATTTCAAAAGCTATTCAAATATAAATTCCCAAAATTACAAAACACGATTTGTGTTGATTACAGTGTACAAACAGATTGCCAACTTACAATACGCCAATGAAACTCAAAACCACTTATATATACACACACACCAGTCAGTGCCCATCATAGAGATTCTCCTTCTCTCTCTCCATCTCTGTGGAATGGGAAAAAAAACAACAACACAGACCAGTAGAAAGACACCCTCGAGAGAGACAAAGAGAAAGAGATGGATACAAACAGAGAGAGAAGCAGGGTATTGATAGAAAGGGTGAAAGATGCAGTTGTTTCAGAGAGCAGGAGCTGTGTGCGGTATGCGATGAGAATAGTGAGTCTGTCGGCCCCCATTAATGGCGTTATGATAAGATGATTTAAGCCCAAACTAGCGCACAGCTTCCCAGCAAGAAAGAGAGATGGACAGATAAAACAAAGCTGAAGTTTTTAAATGTACATTTTTCCTCTTTTTATCTTGTTTTTTTAATGTATATATGCATGTATATGTTTTCGCAGGTTGTCTGGAGTTATCTTTATCTGAGACTCCACGCTGCTCGGTTATTCTGTGTGA